TACTACCATTGCCACCACTCCACTACCACTACTACCATTACTACTACCATTGCCACCACTCCACTACCACTACTACCATTACTACTACCATTATCTCTCCTTCACCCCTGCCACTCCATCTGCTCTGCCACTACCACAACTTCACCGCTAATCTCCTTTGCCATCACCACCACCACTACCATCATCTCTTATCCACCACCTTCACCACTACTGCTGCTTCCTCTCCTCTATCACAAAAAATTAGTTCATGATTTTCAATAACAAATTGTCCCGGGACTATAGAAAAATATTTTTCATTGACCACAAAAAAAATAACTTTTATTTTAGTGAAAAATATTTTTCATTAAAATATTACCTCTACTTCTACCAAATAAAAAATAATAATATTTTTTTCATTAAAATAAAAATGAAACAAATAAATTTTCAATCTTAGTAACTAAAAAAAAAGAATTTTTTTTTAAAAAAATTCATTAACTACAAAAAAATATATATTTTAACAAAAAATAAATTTTTTTGACGACGGCAACCCCCGTCGCCAAAAAAAAAAAGAGTTAAACGACGTTATTTTGTTATTTAAATTTCATTTGTGATCCAAAAAAAAAATTTATTTTTTTATTTTTTATTCCCGCCCCGTTTTTTTTTTCCCATTCCGGCTCCCTTCCCCCACACCCCCCCCCAAAACAAAAAATCCCCAATCTCAAATCCAAAAATCCCTAATCTCTTCTTACCCCCCCTCTCTCTCTCTCTCTCTCTCCCTCTCGATCGACGACGAGTGGCGGAGGAGCAGCGTTGTCGTCGTCATCGTCGGAGCATCGTCGGAGCAGCGTCGGCCTCCTCTTCCGCTACCTCAACATCTCTTATGTCTTTCTTTCTTTACTCTTTACTCATCTCTCTCTGTCTCTCTCTTTCTCTCTCTCTCTCACACACACACATACATGTTTATACATACATACATACATGCATACATGTATGAGTTCATCTTTGACTTCCAATTCAGTTTATCAAATTTTTGAAATACCCCCATTATCTATGCTGATGCCCTAGGTTTTGCAACTTTTCTTAATAATAATGGGTGCTTCAAAATGCTTAATTGTGTGGCTATGGGCAATGAGAAAGCTAACAGTTATTGGGAAGCAGAAGCATCACCAGATCTTGACAAAAGCGGGACTGAAAACTTTATCCGTGCCAAGTAAGTTGCACAACTATACTGTGTTACATTATAAAATAGTGAATAGTACAGTTTTATTCTTCTTCTTTCTGGTTCTAAGTGAATCTCTTGGATTTCTTCAGATATCAAGAGAAAAAATGGGTTTCGAAGAAAGCAACACAACCAATTCCAATATTAGGGGAAAACAGCTCTAGATTTGACAAATTAGATCACAGCGAAGCCAAAGCTGGCATTCCAAAGAAAATAAGAAAATTTTCTCTGGAGGAAGAGATTCTTACTAAACATATGTCACAAGTAGCTCCTATTACAAGAACTCATGGGGTAATGTTTATACTCAATTGAATTTAATTTTTGTGCTTGATAAAAGATCTATTTGCGAATTTCAATTCATGCAGAAATATTCGTCTTTTTGATCATTTTATACTTTATATTGCTCAATATTTTTTTGGTATGTTCTTTATAGCCTTTTTTCCATAGGGTAGGATTCTGATATGAAGGCATTATTTGTTTATTTTCTTTCTAGTTTCCAGAGAAAAGTATGCACTGTTTCCTTTCCTTAATAAGAAGTTTAGTTTCTAAGTAGAATCTAGTCCTACTTTTATTTTTAAATTTTTTGGGTATTTGATTTCAATTTGTGATCAATATATGTATGTTTATATATTTTGTTGTAGCTGTTGCTGTTGTTATTATCACTGCTACTTTTGGTGGAAACTGTCATTAATGTTCCTAGCGTTGGTTCCACACATATCTTTAGGATTTCTAGGATTGGAGCACAGGCAAAATTTGGAACATGTGCCTTCTCATTGGGTGACATTGAAACCTCATATCTCTTGGGAGGTGGTGACTTTATGAGAACTATGTCATTAGTATTCATATTTTTTGTTATCCAAAGGGAAACCTCACAGATTTTCTTCTGCAATTTTCTCTATCTGTAGGAAATAACTTGAAAGAAACTACCACCAAATCATTTGGGCTGCAAAGCTAGTCTTTCAGTTGGGATTAGCTAATCTTAGATTGTAATTCTATGTGAATAGTACTCCTTTTTTGTAGAGGAACCTTAGGCTGCATAATTTCATGTGAATGGCAAATCTGCTTTTCCATGGAGAAGCCAGGGTATTGACTAAGAACTTATTTAAAGTTATGATTTGATGGTTCAAAATGATTTTTCACTTTATTTTATGAGATTTTGTTATGGACATGCATCTTGCCTGGAAATTAATGGTTTGAAGTTAAAGCAGAAATAAGTTTTGGAGGATAGTGCTGGGGACATTTCATGGTCCAAATGGGAGTTAAATTCCAGGATCTGTAAGGGGCATTCTTTAGACACCATGTTGTTTGGGAAGGCTTTCTTATCATCCTATCATATGTCTTTTTGGTGTTCATTAATGAATGTTACGAGGACATCCCTCTTTATATTCTATTGCATGATTAGCCTGTTAGGATTAGTCCACCCATATGATAAAGGTGGGTCTCATATAATTATTAGGTTGGTTTATACATGTAGTTGGTGTGGGATAGTAGAGTTAGAAATCTATTAGGAAACCTATTATGTGTAGGATTTGGTTAGCTAATTGTATGGACCTAGGATTCTCACGGTTAGATTATTATAAATAGTCATGTGGACTATAGGGTTTCTTTGAGAGAGATTGAGAGAGTAGTAAGGGGTGACAGAAAAAATACCGTGGGCATCGAGGTGAGCAAAGGCTTAAATATCCTCGAGCATGTGGTTCGGGTAGTGGTGTGGATTTTGAGTGTTTTGAGTGTTTTGGCCATCTCACATGTGTGCTATATTTTATTCATAGTGGAAACTCTCTCTCCCATAGATGTAGGTAATTTGGGCCAAACCACATAAATCTATGTGTGATTATTTTTCTCTTTGGTGTGTGCGTGACTATGCTTCTGTTTGCGTTGGTGGGATGTGGTATAAATCCCAACAAGTGATATCAGAGCTGAAGGTTATTGATCCACGGGGTGGTTGACAATGACTTGAACAAAGCAAGGTGAAGTCTCATGGCACACAGAGAAATTTTTTTAAAAAAAGGTTTAAATCTGGTGAAGACTTTCGCAAGAAGAAACATAGCAGAAAAATTCACCTCAAAAGTGGATCTCAAGGTTTTCAAAGATTGAGGTTTCATCAGTACGGTCAGAATTTTCAGATTCTGAACAGTTTTAAAGGGATTAGACAGATTCAAGGGTGATCAAAGGTGATAGCATGTGATCTAGGTGATCTAGGAGTAATTTGATTCAATCAACAAGGAAGTCCAGTCATTGCGGGGTCAATCAGATGGTGCTCGTTTGATTGGACATCATGATTGGCAACTTGTACAGGCTTGTGGAGTATGTTGTGACAAAAGAGAAGCTGCCGTCAAACATAAGACAAGTAGTATCAGTCATGGGTGAACAGTGGTGAGCAATAGTTGCAAGGATATTTGGTGGCCACCAAAAGGAAGACAACGGGTTGCTAGATTGTTCACAGAAGGAAGCTTCGGGCGTAGATTTTGAGATGGTTTCGCGACAAGATGGTGTACACCAAAGGAGGACGTGAATCCCTTTTCTATGAAGGTTTGGTTCGTGGCAGTGGAGACATATCAGGGAGGTGCAACGGATCTCACCGGCTCGAGCATGACACAAATAATGTGCGCATTTGGTTCAGGGGATGCAACATCTTCTAGATGAAGATCGAGTGTATCACGTAAACCAGGGCATCTAGGTTGGAGAGTGCATGTAACATTTACCCCACATGGGTGGAGGGAGTGACTGTTAGGATTAGTCCACCTATGTGATAAAGGTGGGTTCTATATAATTATTAGGGTGGTTTATACATGTATTTGGTGTGGGATAGTAGAGTTTGAAATCTACTAGGAAACCTAATATGTGTAGGATTTGGTTACCTAGTTGTATGGAACTATGATTCTCATAGGTAGATTATTATAAATAGTCATGTGGATTATAGGGTTTCTCTGAGAGAGATTGAGAGAATAGTGAGGGAAAAAATAGAGATGCAAGGGGTGGGCATTGGGGTGAGTAAGGGCTCAACTACCCTTGAGTATGGGGTTCGGGTAGTGGTGTGGGTTTTGAGTGTTTTGGCCATCTCACATGTATTCTCTATTTTATTCGTAGTGGAAACTCTCTCTCCTATGGATGTAGGTAATTTGGGCTGAATCACGTAAATCTGTATGTGATTATTTTTTTCTTTGGTGTGTGCGTGAGTGTCCCTCCGTTTGCGTTGGTGGGATGGTAGTATAAATGCCAACATAGCCCAGCCCTTTAATTTGTTTAATGGGGACCACTGGTTCAGTGTTTAAAACTCGGTCTATTAACCTTGAGGTTGTGGGTTTAAACTTGAGGGCAATCACTTTGTGCAAATTATACCAAATGTTACGTCTGTATCCAATCTCCCTCTCCTAGACCCCCATCTAATGGAGACTAAACTGGGGGTACCTTTTTTCAAATTTTAATTTTAATTTTAATTTTTTTTTTTTTTTGTAGTTTTCTTTCGATATCATCTTCTAAAATTCATAATTTTTTAATAATATTTTATGTGTAAAATTGTAAATTGATGGAAAGACCCTAACTTTTATAGTCTTTTATTTACAAGTTTAACCATGAGCAAGGAACAAAAGTTCAACTTTTAGTGACTAGGAGGTTTCTTGTCCATATGACCTGAACTTAAAAATATTTGAAAGAGAAAAAGGGTAGTAAATGTGCCATGGCATGTGAAAGAAAGAAAGCGAATATGCTTCTTGTTGCATTATATTGCTTAGTTACCTATAATTTCCTTGGAATTTTTCTTATGGATGATTATGTAAATGGCTTTTAGCCCAAAGGTTTGCAAGTTTTGAAATTGGCTGGATGAGATTGACATTTTCTTGTTTCATCTGCTGCTTATTTGAGTTTCTTGTTTCGTTACTAAATTTCTTTTTTTGGTTCCATTTACTTTACTAAATTAGAATATATTTAACACTGACTATTGAAGGTGATTTAAATTTGGACAGGGTTCTTTAGATATGACAAACAGGCTTATGACTTCAGCTCCACCAAGGGGGATGATTCCTGAACACAATACCTCCATACAGAATGGTAACGGAACTACAGATCTCTTCAGCTTGCTCTATGTCCAAGACTCAAAGCCTGATCCTTTTATTGTTCCTTCCCGTTGGGCCACATTTGAATGTAAGCTTAAGATATTATTGCAAAGCATATCATGTGAACTGTTCATAAAGTTATGAGAGTATTGGTGAATTAAGAAGCAGACTGAATGGCCACTAAAAGAAAATTTCAGTGCAAAAGACGTTTCTTCCAATTTTCTGATGTCTATATTTCTAAATAAATGTTCTGATTGCAGGAGGAAATCCACAGAGATTGAGCCTTAACAGAGTTAATATCCATTGGAGTCGAAGTTGCAGTTCATAGGTGGAAATTGAGAAGGTGATTTATTAAGGTATGCTGCTTCAAATTAGCTTTTTCAATCATTGTCCACCTTAATGCTGCTTCTTTTCCATTGTCATTAGTCAAAATGCATGGATAGAAGCTCTTGTTTTTCGGAGTGTAGGTGTTAGGTATTAGAGATGGTCAGTTGTGGAACTCTGGAAAGCTGGCCGGCACTTCAATGGCCAAAGATCGCCTGAGGTGGCGGAGGAGAAGACCAAGGTAGCTTTAGAGATAGAGAGGGTGACAGTGAGAGACATTGAACACCCGAGTTATGGGGGGGTTTGTGGGCACAAGCTATGCAGGTGTTGTTGTCTTGTGTGTCTGCTTGCATGATACCCTTTTATAAACTCCAAAAGTATTTGAACCTAAACCACCTATGGACAGGCGGTGAGTTCTCCGTGACTTGACAAAATGGTGACATCATTCCTACTGTTGCATTGCATCCTATGATTTAGACTTTGGGAAGGCTGTATCATGCAGCAGAATATAAAGAGGCATGCCCTCACATAACCTTCATTAATGAACACCAAAAAGACTTCTCCTATCTTGGGATTAGTTAACCAGGTCTATCAACCTTGAGATTGTGGGTTCAAACATGAGGTAGGTATGATATATTGGGAGGCATATCATGGCATGCAGGCCACTGGTCAACGTCTCCTTTCTCTCTAAGATTAGTTAAGGAGGAATTGTCTTCCTGGGGAGACAGTCATGCAACATTGACAAATATATTGCAGTGTATACTACAACAAACGAATTGTGTATGACTGAAACCGAAGCTAGACAATGGTTTTAATCTTCTTATTCTGCATTGCAGGTAGCTAGGTACTCGGATAACCAGTTGAGGAACCGCATTAGTAATTTCAGCAAGCACTCACTGGATGTCGGTATCATATTCATATGGAAGGCCACGTTTAAAACCATAGAAAAGACAAATCAAATTCATCTTCTGCTCTTTCAGTTTTTTGAAATTGACATTTTTGATAGGTTAGTTCTTAACTAGGTTGAGAAATATAAGGCTGCGTTGAAATGTTTCTTTTGTTTTTCACTCATTTATGTTATGAAAACTGTAAAGTAAATTGGTTTTGTTTTTTTAATCTTGATTTGCATTGATTTTTTCGGCTATGTTTATCTCGGGTTGTAAGTATAGAAATATTTTGACAATGAATTCTTTGCTTACTGATGCATTTTCATGATTCGAAGGGACAAGTTGTAACAGAAGATGAAGGATAAAAAAAAAGTCACATCTGGTTTTTTTTAGTCACATCTGGTTGAAAAATGAAATTTGAGTTGGTTCAAAATTTGTCTACGTGGGACCATGGGATGATTTCACTCATCTACCCTGTGAATTATGGAGGTAGAATTTATAGAATGTATTTTACTCATTTGTTAAAATTTTAGGGTACTTACGTGGAGGTTCTAATAAGTGAACTTAATCGTTTAATAGGTTTTATAGGAAAAATTTGTCACAAAAAAATCACTAATTGTAAATTTTAGTGATAATTTATAAAAATTATGACAAAAAAAAGTCATTAATTGTTAATTTTTAGCGACGTATGTAAAAAATTATGACAAAAAAATTATTTTTAGCTATAATTTTATTAAGACTTATTTTCAATAGAACTTAATAGAAATTAAGTCTAACTATTAAGATCTATTGGTAGTTTACCCTAGAATTTAAGACAACAACGACTGAGACCTCTTTTTTTTTGGGCACAGTCTTTTTTGAATTTCAACCATTGATGGTGTGGGCTCTACATATATATGAGTGGATTTCACATATGCATTAATTGTTGAGATCTAAAAAGGATCGTGGGGATCTCAAAAAAAAAGGTCCCAATCATTTTTGAATTTAAAATTAGCTTTTAAGAATAGCTCTTCTCGATTTTTGGCTTGAAATGTTTTTAAAAAGTTGTATAAGTGTTTTGTGGAGCTTGCAAAAGTTGAAATTGTTCGACAAATAATTCAAAAAGTAAAGTTCAAAATATCTATAGCCTTGTTATACGTAATTATTTTTTGGGGGGTGTTTTAGAGTGAAAAATAATATAAAATTTTAAATTGAGCTTGCATTATAAATTTAGATAAATATTTAGTAAGGAAATAAAGGGCTAAATTTTTATCTAAATTTATGAAAAATGTTAGGAATACTAACATATTTACTAATAATATTACTAATACATTCACAAGTTGATGTGGTCCTATACCTAGTGATAGTTGATCTTAATAAAACATGTAGGTATGTTAGTAAAATTGTTAGTATTCCTAGCATTATTGTTTATTTTATTAGCATATTTCTTACTTTTTCCTTTTTTATTTAAAATCTCTACCTAATACCCAAATTAATAATTTAAACTCTCTACCTAATACCCAAATTAATAATTTAAACACAACTTAAAAAATTTTAATTCAAAGTTTTGAGATTCCCTTTGACCCGAAAGGGAGAAAAAAAAAATTATTTACATTTTTTAATTTATTTCAAAGGAAAATTTTAAATTCCCTTTTTAATTGGCTGTTCTTTGTGGCGCCGATGGTGCCGTTTACCATTTATTTACTAAACTTGTTTGGAAGTGCCACTGACTGTACTAATTAAATGATGTGTTCAATTAGTTAAGAAGCAAAGACATTCTAAATAATGTTTTAAATATACATGTATGTATAAAATAATTGGAATGCCTCCTATGTGATTTTTTATGTGCCATGACAAGTCTGTCTCATTATTTTTAAATATTGTCACAACAATTATATATAGATATATATGTATAAAAAAAAAAGGGTGATGTACCAATAAGTTCAAAATTAATAACTTATACACTGTTTAGTCCTAAAAATTTTCTTATCGACTGAAAGGTTCCATTACAATGTTTGAAATCAGATTTCAAACATCGTGAAAAATTACAATAATGTTTCAAACATTAGACTTCAAACATTTAATGTTCATCAGATTTTAATAATGTTTGAAATTATAGAATGAAACATCAGATTCATTTACGATCATGAACATCAAATTTCAATAAACTAATGTTTACCATCATGAACATCAGATTTCAATAAACTAATGTTTACCATCATGAACATCAACATCAGAACATCATGAACAAAACATCATCGAATCTGGGTTTAGATCCCACCGGTAATCGCAGAAAGGCGTCGAGTTGGTCCTCTCCGGAGACGTCTTGATCTTCATCCATCTCTGTTATCTGATCATCCTCTGCGAAGAAAACAGAATGATTGGAACCAATAGAAAGGAAGAGGATTGATGTTGCTGATGTTTTTGATGATGTTGCTAATGTAGATCAAGCAATTGGGCGAAATGTGTAGTTCGAATATCAAGAGAAGGAGAGACAAATTGTCTTCATACTGTGGCGGTGAAACGATTGGGCTAGGGTTTTTGGAGGCCGATTTTTGGGTCTTTGAAGTAGATTTAATTGCTGGTGAATTCGAAACTTTCATACTAGGGCTTGTGAGATTGGGATTTGAATTCTCAGAATATTTTGAGATTTCTGAAATCTTCGATCCATTGGGTTGTGGGTTTGACGATGTTGTTCTTCTCCTACTGGCTCTCTATTTTTCATTTTCTTATTCTTCGCGATGTTTGATGTTTGACGATGTTTTTCTTCTTCGCGATTTAGAATTCTCATCAATTTTTTTAGATGTTGCTAATGTTGAAATGTTGCGATGTTGCTTGAGAGATGAACCGAAGCAGGAGGGTTTGCGTGTATGTGTTGGAGAGAGAGAGAGATTCTTACAGAGAGGAAGATGAAGATATGTGACAATGAATGATGAACCAGAACCAGGTTATGTCGGGGATAAGGTTTTCAAGGGAAAAAAATTAATTAAATTACGATGATGTTTGTGATGTTGTCGATTTTTAGTGGTTTCTTGATGATGGTAATTTTTTTTAAAATGAATCTGATGTTTGAAACACCTACAAACATTTGATGTTTGACGATGTTTTTCTTCTTCGCGATTTAGAATTCTCATCAATTTTTTTAGATGTTGCTAATGTTGAAATGTTGCGATGTTGCTTGAGAGATGAACCGAAGCAGGAGGGTTTGCGTGTATGTGTTGGAGAGAGAGAGAGATTCTTACAGAGAGGAAGATGAAGATATGTGACAATGAATGATGAACCAGAACCAGGTTATGGCGGGGATAAGGTTTTCAAGGGAAAAAAATTAATTAAATTACAATGATGTTTGTGATGTTGTCGATTTTTAATGGTTTCTTGATGATGGTAATTTTTTTTTAAATGAATCTGATGTTTGAAACACCTACAAACATCAAAAATATCGGATGATGTTTGATGATGTTTGATGTTGTTTTGATGATGATGTATAAATGGGACTAAATGGTGCATAAGAAAACTTTTAGGACTAAATGGTCCACCTTTTCAGAAAATAGAATTTATTAGTAAATTTTCCAAAAAAAAATTGCATGAATATATATATATATATATATATATATAAAAAATAGGGAGACTTATTTATAAGTCCTTTTTCAGACACTTATGCTAGGGTAAATCTTGTGTAATTTCTTATAGAGTCTCAAGTCCTATTTAGATAGAAATGTATTCACAAGATCCTACATAAACATAACATAACGTGACACTTACATAAACATAACGTAACGTGACACTTATATAAATGTAACGTAACGTGACACCTATATAAACGTAACGTGACACCTACATAAACGTAACGTAATGTGTCACGTTACGTTTTGCAAACTTAATGAGTTTTTATTTTTTAAAATTAAATGTGAAAATGTTGCTGGTTTATGTTGGTGTCACGTTACGTTTCATATAAATATGATCTATGGTAACATTCAATTTTCTATACAGGAAATTGAATGTTGCCATAGATCATAGGTGTCACGTTACGTTTATGTAGGTGTCACGTTACGGTACGTTTATGTAGATATGATCTGATCTGATCTATGGTAACATTCAATTTCCTATATAAGAAATTAAATGTTGTCGTAGATCATACGTGTCACGTTACGTTTATGTAGGTGTCAGGTTACGTTACGTTTATATAGATATGATTTATGATAACATTCAATTTCCTATATATGGTTTTACTATTATTTATGATATTAACAACTAATATTGAGGGTAAATGTGTTAACAAATTTCTTACAGGACTTATGAGAACATAAATTTTTTAATAAGACCATATGTAATATAAGCCTCCTTAATAGGATTTATAAATAATTTTCTTCATAAAATAAACTAAAGTGATAAAATAACTATGATGACAAATAATATTTTTTTGAAAATAAAAAAGCTAAAGGGGACGGCACTTGAAAAAAATAACAAGGAGATATAGAAAATGGGTGTCAACTTCAAGTCAGTATGATGAAAAAGGGCCGCACATAAACCTTCGTGACTCCCGGAAGGCTTGGCGTGGCATCAAAGTCTGTTCCCCACTCCACTCAACTCAACTGGAAAAAAAAATATATTCTTTAATAATTTGTGGTGGTATTACATACATCATCAATTAATATTCTAACTAATGTATTAATATTAGTTATGATATTTTTGTTGACTTCACTCATTAATCACATTATAAATACTAAATTTTTTTAAAATTATATCACATCATAATTAATACACTAATTAATGCATATAGTATTACTCATAATGTTGGGAAGCAATGCAAGAAAATTGTTAAATCATTATTGCTAGGTTCCACAATTCAAACACAGAAAAGTATTAAGATACATTATAAGTGTGAGTTTCATAATTTAAATTTCGATCACATATTATTTTTTTTGATAAATTTTTTTTATTTTTATATATGAGTTCTTGATTTCTAATATTACTGTAAATATTTGCAAAACTTACGTGTTAGTGTATGTAGTAGTATTCTTGACAAACAAAAATTGTAACATATACTAAATGAGTCATCTTTTATTTTTTGACTAACGAACAAAGACAAATAAATTTATTTTGCACTAATAAAAAAAATTTAATTATGTATATATAAATAATTCCACATGATAATTACCCATCAATGCAATTGCCTGGATCATTTAAATTCAAACTATGAAATTCAATGTACCAACAGATATTTGATCGAGCTATTTTGTGTGTAGTGTGAGGCAGTGTAGTGGTGAAATATATAATTATTCATATATATAGCCGGTAGCCCTAGCGATGTGACCCTCAAAAGAAAAGTATTTGGAAGTTCTAAATTGAGAACTTTAAAGAAGCTCTAAGTGTGTGAGCCTCGTAGTAATAGTAATGTTTTAACGCTTTTTTTCTTT